ACCGTATTTGACAGTGCAACACATCAAATCAGAGTTATAAGATTTAAAAATATATTTTTTGTTATAAATTGTGCTTGATGAAACATTTTGTTCGTTTGATTGCGTATTTAAATGATGGATTCAATGCCATGTGTGACATTGAAATTTGCCAAATACTGGGCGTTAGACACCGTTAAGTACTGACATATGTATTTAAGAAACCAGTTTTTTTCAAAGTTTTTTTTTCATTCACTCCTGCATCGAATTGCATGCATCATATCCTTGCATCAGATGAGATACACACGATACCGTCTATATATCACATGATCTAGTCTCGTCTTTTCTGCAGCCAACACTTCATGGCATACCTTCCCTGGTTCGCCCTGTGATCCGTCAACTCGTTTTGCAGGACCGCTTTCTGGGTTTTAAAAGTCCATCAAAAATGGTCAACTCTCTCTCAGAAATCCTCCATCCGCTGGGTCGCAGGTGGAGCAATCGAGCAAGGTTATCAAATGTTCATGGCTCTGGGCCTGCCCCATAATTTCCGCGGCGGCCATTGCAACGGCAATGCAATGCAATGCATGAATGTGATCAGTGATGTACCAATATGGATGTATTTGTTTCTGGATAGTCAGGTCGTAATGCATTGATCCCTCGGTGATGCATATTATCATACATGGTGTCCATTTGAACTTGCTTTACATGGGTAGGTATACCTACCTACATAAGGCACATTTCATCCGCCAAGTATACTTGGCGGATACATTTGATTTAATGCAATCTACTCCCTACCAACTGAATCTTGGAAGTGAGAAATCAGTTAAACGCAAAATACTCATTACTCACCCAAGAAGTTACTTTTCTATTTTCAAGGCACCTACTTTTTTTGTTAACATACCAAATTTTTACCGCCATTTGGTAGTTAATGACAACCAAACAGCGTCTTATACATCAATTTCAGTTAATTTACAATCTTTCCTTGGCCTTCTGGCCTTCTTATCCGTTAGCATGTTTATTTATCTCAATAAGTATTTGCTATTCAATCGACCATTCCAAGGGGCCTGATTCTTCTTGGCCATACCACACCATCCCCAGCATGGGAACCGATCAACCAAGTTTGTATTCCAAACTTAAACTAAGTAGCATAGAAAATGAAATAGCACACAGTGATGATCTGTTATGCACTTCGCTCTCTGAAGGCAAAATTACTGGAACCTCTCTTAAAAGCTCGTATATCAGTCTCGTATTTACGATAACCCTAAAGGTATAAACTGCATAAAGGTAACACAGATTTTAAGTTAAATAACTTAAATGAAAGTCGTTCATTGCTATCATCACCTTGAATATGGATAGCAGAAGGCTGGGAGCAGCTGTCTGGGCGACTGGCAGCTGATGATATCACGTGGCCTCCACGTGCCCGTCCTACCGGTCTGCGAAGGTCCCTGGCCCGGAGGAGAGGAGCTGGGAGGTGTGCGGATCTATCCTGATGATGAGCGGTGCCATCGTGGACCGGAACGATAGCGAAGTGATTTAAACTCCATAGTATCGCAAAGTATATCTCGGCATGATCTCAGTCTTAACCCACAAAATTGATGTCGATTTCAATCTGTCTAGTAAAATTCCATGGCCGGAGGAGAGTGATTAGAATTAAAAGGCATAGGTAGAAGGTAACCGCGATGCAAGTCCTTTTCTCTAGATGTTTTTTCGTACAAAAAGAAACTTCAAGGAAGGCTTTTCTCGCCCAATGCATAACTCAATCTCTTGTTGTATGCCTCGACCGAGGTCTGTGGTCGAGGCATAGCTACCATTGCATTGCAACAACTAATTGGAATGCTGAGGTCGAACTTTTCATGCATCTTGCTTCCGTTTCTCCTAATATCTAATAACAAAGTAAAAAAAAATCCACATTGAAATACCTACATTTTATGTCCAAAGTAACCGCAATCTATTCATCTACTAGGAAATGTTAGGTGCCAGCGCCATAACATTGGGTATGTTGTGGGCCCCAAAAAATACATTCATGCACCATGCATCATATTCTGATCTAGGCAGATAGAAATGTACCGATAACAGATGTGAGAGCGCAGACCAGATAGCACGAATACATGAACACGGTCTGAGATTAGCGCCGTCCAAAGCTGCGGCGAATGCCACAGTTCATAGAACTTGCTTTCATCGCAACCCGAGTTCGACGTACCCCCATTATCAACTCACATGTCGACGCTCACGAGCCACTGTAAAACATACCCAAAATGTGACTCAGAGCGGCGGAGACATAGCGACAGAACAGGAAAGCTTGCACAATGGAATAATATGATTCCGGAACCATCGATGTGATCCTCATTCTTATGGCGTTATTCCTGAGATAAGATGCAGTCCCCGTGGCCACGAAGCTGTTACTCTTGGATAACAGACGGGGTCAGATAGAGGTGTGAGTGCGAACACCTGCTGCTTTCTGACGAAACGGCAGCTTTGCGGGGGAGTTCGTCAAAGAGATGTCTGACCTATGTCTGAACTATAGCTGCAGAAGCCGTCATTCTATAACCGCAGCAGCCGTTCGTTCATTGTCAGCGAGATCTGAGCAAATTTTGTCAGCGAGCTCTGGGTGAATGTTGCACGTTCTCTGCACTGGTTTATGGATTAGGCAGGAAGCGGTATTCATGTGACTGGCTGCATAGGAAATGTGCGCTCGATTCGGACTGTATTGTTAACAGCGGATCTGCGCTGATACAGTCGTGCATCCAATATATCGCGATGAATGTGCGTTTTCATAATTTCTGCAACATCTATGGAAGCTTGTCTTGTTTATATTGTTTTTATAGGTAGTGGCATGTATTTGTATTAAAGTAAATTTAATTTAACTAGGTGCAAATAGATACTTTTGGTGCAATTTTTAACCATGGGAAAGGAAATGATAATTTTACCATAGTGACTATGGAACAGAACACCTAGGGTGTCGGCACAACACAAAATAATGCCGGTGTCGACCACACGCCTGCCTATTTAGTTCACAAATTGATCAAAATCTGAAGCGTTCTTCGTCCAATTTGGATATGTCAGTGCTAAAGAGGTCGAGGTTTCGCCCCCCCCCCCCCCCTGGCCACCAGCGAGACGGCCCACATCACCTATACCGGGAAACGAGCGGGCCGTTTTCCTCGCCACACCCGAGCGGCGTGCCCTACGAGACCTCGACGGACTGACAAAGCCAACACCACCGCGCAAACAGCAGTCGGCACTGAACATGACTGCGCTGCAGTATCTCGTTATTGCAGATTGAAAACATGTTATATAAACGTCCGATCAATCCTATAGACATGCGTCCCTTATACTTTACTTTTGTTCGTGGGTGTGCTACTGAGTACTTTTATTGGTTAGTTTTTCGGTGCTAAAACTGCGTTTAAGCTGATATTCATTGAAGCATCAATGTGTCTTCTTAAATTATTTTTCCTTTATTGATCGTAAGTGAAAGAGCCTTTCCAGCACTCGCAGCTATTCGAGTACACACAGACATACGTCTTACGTGTCATATTGGTCATAGGGTAAAGCTCTTATGCCTCCCGAGTCCATTTAAGCTCAGGAAGAGTTCATGTAAAACCATTACGCAACATATGGCCCCTTACCTCCACTCTCTATCTCCGGTAAGACAAAGGTTAGTGATATTGTGATACGGCATCACCGAACTAATCGGCCGCAATAAAACTGTATGGCCGGCCGACGTCACCGACTCAGTTGTCATGGCTCCGTGACTCTGGTATTTGTCGTCGGACACCCCACGGTCGGCAGCGGGCTGCGGCCGACCTTCCCCGTCACGGTCGGGACAGGGAGTCCGAACGGGACCGGCGCGCACGAGTTGACAGTTCATGGCTCGCCCCGCTGAGCCGCGGAGGATGGAAACGGTCGAAAAAGTTCGGTAGTTCACATACGCATATTCGGTAGTTCACATGCGTGTCTCATGTGGTGTGCATATGGAAATGGTCCATGGAGTTGTTTTGCGTTGTTCACCCATGCTATTCAATTGATTTACTCTTCACTTCAGCGCTGTTGGCTATCTTTACGTCACTTAAGAATGATACCCTAAACACTCATGGTCTTTTTAAGCAGCTACAGAGATGCGACGAAAGAAAGACTGAAGCAGAGTGAAATGCAAATAGAAACGTCCAAGGTGTCACCCTGAATAATTACGATGTTATTACAGAGATAAATCATTTCAGAGTTGCAAAGCTAAGTTTTAGGTCTGTCGTCACAACAACTATAACTGATATTTTCTTTTGATTGTTGTTGCAATGATGAATTTGGGGTAGCTCGATTTTCCATGACTTCTGGGGACTTTCATAATCTTAAGCCTGACCGAATAATGCCTCGAACACCATCAAAACTATATGTTACCAACTTTTGAACGCTCCTTTTTGGCTACGTGGCATTGTCGCCTAATCAGAGGGCCAAACTCCTTTCCTCCATCTTCATCGGGAAACGGAATATGAATAAAATTTGCTTGCTATCACAGCTAAGAAATGAGAAGGCAGATGAAGAATGAATGAAATGTCAATGATACGAAAAGGGAAGAACCAAGCGTTGATCAAAAGATGATTTTATTTATTCGATAAGTGTTGCGTACATCCTGCCTCTACATTGTGCATGATTGAATTTTTAAGCAATGCCACTAAAAAAAAAAATATTAAATGTTTGCTTCTGTGAGGGAGCCGATACTTTTTTGCAAAATAGCTACCCAGTAATCATTGGTCTCAATCTTAGCGCAGTTTTAAATACCAATCGTCATAAACTTGTCTGACACCTGAATTATGCAGCTCCACCTGTCTCGTAAATAAATCTGTCCTTATATTTAACTACCTTGATTATGGTAATAACTGACACTTTCAGTTTTATCAATGTTTATCGATGTGACTTGTTTGTTGTTGCCTATCGAGTTGTACACTGTGCAACAGCATATCTACACACCACAACAGCTTAGCAGCAGCTTTTCTGGGAAGTTCCCCTCCCTGGCATTGCTCTGACACCGCGCCGGTGAGGCGACGGACAGACGCCGGCCGTGGGGAGGGGTGGGGCCGCCCGGGGGCAGGCGCACCGCTCAGGGGCCCGCCCGGACCTGGGGCCGGCCGGCCGACCGACCGGCCGCGCGAGGCCGCGCTCCATGCTGACCTTGTAGCTGCCGGTGACGTCAGAGGCCGGACCGGGCGGCCCGAGCGGCGCTGGGCCGCCAGTCGGTAGCGGGACGCTGCGGGGCTGGGTTCGACTTCTGTCTGTCCGGTGCATCGCCAGCTTGACCGTCTCACATCCTGCGACCGACTCGACTCGTCACTCTACAGCTGCACCCGCCGCCGACTCCCCCAACCAGGTGAGCTGCCCGCGGTCCAAAGGAGACGGTCTCCTGATGTTGGTGGCAAATGCCTCTAGCATGGACTGTTTTTCCATGGTCCTGGACTTAATTAATATTTTTTTAGCTTTTCACCTATTTTGATTAATAGACCAACGAAAAAGTAGCTTTTTGTTCCGATACAAGAGAAGAAAATTTATATGCAAATTTGGCAGTAGCGTTACCGTGAAAAACGAAATTGAAGGGGCTTCCGTTCTGAGAACGACACGCGAGGCGCATCTCTTTATGGAGTACCCATTAATCTAGCTTCTGAGAAAGGGAACCGCTGAAATTCAAGGACGAGTTTTTTAACAGAGACCGTCTTTGGTGCGTGGCCTTGGTATGTCGGTGGAATTTATTTATCCTGTCGCTGTGAGCGATGGAACAGCTAGAAGTTATACCAGCTACTTCTTTTGTGATTGACCTCCCTCTTCACGCTAACATCGACGTTTGGGTAACTTTTTTATTTGTGTCTTAATCATATCACTGAAATTGTCATTGAATTGAAATTGAATTTGAAATTTTCCATTTAGATATTCCATAATTGCTGTAATGAAGCATTCGCCCTAGCCTTTTCCTAAAAATAGGGTACTTATTTATTTTTTAGGCATAAATTATTATCCATCATTTCAACTGTAACAACTGTAACTATAGTTAAATTCTAAAATTCACTTTTTATAACTGAGCCAAGATTCATGTTAAAATATTTGTGAAATAAAATAAAATAGGAAATTAAGCATTTCATGCGGCACGAATTTCTCAGAGAATCTAAAACTGCTGTCTCATCGCTTGATGAAAGCCAGGCGCTGAACCTGACCGCGACAACCACCATCAAGCCTACACCTGTAATTGTAGCCAGTAACTATAAAAGTTCACCGCGATCGGGCTGCTGTGCTCGACACGGCGTAGCCCGGGGGCCAGCTCTGGGCCGGCTGGCACCCGGCCAACTGGGCCGGCCGCGGAGGAGGTCACACAATTGGCACGCTCCGGTGCTCTATTCTCACCCCAAGTACAGCCCGGCGCGAACCATTAGCGGCTCTGGTTCGGCCTCAGGTGGGGTCTGAGTGATTCAAAGGCTAGGCCCGCCGACCGGGGTCGCTTGCTGCTTGAGACATGAGTCAGGGCAGTCAGGAGAGATGCTGAGCGAGACGAGTGTCAAGTCACGTATGATCTTGCACCAGTTAGTGGTAAGCGTGGCTGGATTCACCATTCCCTTCTCATAAATTGGTTGGTCCGAATAAGTACCGTACCTCTCGTATTGGCTTTGTCTATTGGATCGCCGCCCTCGCTGCAAACGAAATTAACTACTGACTTCGTGCTGAATGATTTATGAACTACCGGCTAGCTTCAGGAAATCGGTCTTAACAGCTAGTGAAATATGTTCTTGCGCCTGGTATGCTTTATAGCCAGAATTTGGTCTCTTTTGTGCTCAACTTCTAGAGGATTCTGCGGTAAAAGTGGAAACTAGGTCTGTCAATAGGCTGTTGATTCAGCCATTGGAGAAGGTGTGGCCGTCTAGGACGTTGCGAGGCGGCATGATCATGACCTTCGTGAGTCGACATTGAACTTCTTCCTTGTTTCCGTGTGGTACGGTCGCATTTGTAGTACTTTTTTGGTCGGTCGTCGAGTGCACAGTTATACTGTCTATACTGCGCCTAATGCACGCAACAGGAAGGATGCTGGCTTATATTTTTTGATATTTTTGTATGATAGCAAACATAAACAGTGACCCTTTGTTTAGACTGATTAACGCCTTTGCTTCATTTCCTTTAATTGAAGGACATACGGTAATGAAGCTCTCAATTTCATCGACTCGAGTATCGGAAATGTACCGCATCACTATACTTGATGTCAAGCGGCGATTAAAATGTAGGTGCTAGTTATGGCCAAGGATTAATGCAACAAATCCAATAATGTGTTTCAGTGTGTTGAGTGGTCTGGCAGCTTTCATTAACAAAACAGACCTTTTGCTTTGATTCGGTTTCAGTTGATGTCATATGTCACACTGTGGGACCTTTGGCTAGTGCATGGCTATAGATTCGTCAGAAACATGATTTCATTGCAATCGCGTCATGCTCCGTTTAGCGCAAAAAATCGCAGAGTCTGGTTTCAAGCGAGGAAATTCCATTGGGCTTGTGGCAGTGTTTTTGAATAATGTTTAGGAATAAAACATCCACCAGTCCATACCGCAGAGGAGTATACCTGTGCCGACTAGTTCTGCCTAATTCGACCACAGTCTAACCGTCACCTGTTTCTGAAAACCCCCGATGGACTCTGGCCCGAGTTATCTGTCGCGCCGCGCCGCCACTCACGATTTGAACGCCCCCGTGGCGGCCCATGATGTCGCTGTCACGATAGGCTGGTGTCGCAACCACCGCTGACTCAGGACCGCTGGCCGGCTACGTGTGAACAGAGCTATATGCGTGGGCTCATTTCGTGGCCTTCTCCCGCCTCAGAAGGTGTCGACCTTCGTCTATGGCGGCGGGACAGATTATACAGAGCGAGATTCAGAGGGTTTAGACGAGTTTTGGAGGTGATACCATCCTGTGCGCACAACTGGACTGTGGCTCACTTATATAAGATGTTCAAATGATTCAATAGGTATCTTGACCCACTTCGGATGATCACTTAATATCATTTGGTTATTGAATGGACAGAACTTCGCAATTGCTTCATATTTACATCAATCTGGGAAACTTGCCAATTTGATTTGTTCAATCAGTCTTGAAGATTATGCAACGCAAAATAAGCCCGGTTACTGAGTGTTACAAAGCTAAAAAATCAATCAATTGAGCGATGCTTAACATGAGAAAGAAATTTAAAAATGGACCACTAAAAATGAAAATAAGGGCAATTGCACCAAGAGTGCTGCTTCGGGCCGGAGCACCGCTCATAAACCAGCGCTTTGTTTCGCCACGACATTGCAGACTATTGGCTAGAACACAATAGTTACAGGGACTTATTTTACTTGCCTTAGTTATTGTTTGCTTTAGTTATTGTTTGCTTGTTAACACTCAACATATAACATGTCGAGTAAAGAAAAAGATCGATACAGAATCACAGTAATCTGGACGTATGTCCTATTTATCATTTTATTTGTACACATTATCAGCTTGTCGCCACACTCCACAAAGCATTGGCACTGGGAAGCAGGAAAGTGACCGCCGGCGGGGCCACTAGCCGATTGTCACGTCCGAACGGTACTTGACTGGCACTGCCTCCTACCAATGGGTGTGGCTGGACCTCAGTTTCCGTGTCACTGCCGCCCGTTCGGCGTTGGTCGTGACTGGTGGGCGGCTGGCGGAGGGTTGGCGCGGCTCTCGGCTGGAGCTAGCTCGAAGACGGTGCGTGAGCGGTGCGCTGTAGGACGGAGCCAAGAGCAGGTTTGTCGGCTCAGCAGGGAGGCTGACCGGTTTGCTGTCTCGGAGACGTTCTTTTGGGAGTGTTGTGCGCGACTGGGCCGGGCAGTTGGCCTCGCTCGCCGTTGCCGGACCGCAAGCTGGCGACGTTTTTATCTGGGTCCGTGCCGTCTCGTCACGTCGTCTCGGCGCTGTCGCCGAGGGCGATGACGTTTGCGACAGTCGTGTCCCGGTGCCTTCCGGCAGATTTGGTCGCAGTGATAGCGTGGCATCGGGCGAGTCAACTTGTTTGTCAGAGGGCGCACCTCTGCGGTAAGATAGGACTCGGCGTGTCGCTGAAATGGCCACACCTGCCCCGTTCCCGCGGCTGTGGATAGGAGTGCCCAGTAACCCAGGGAGTGCCGATAATGTTTGTCACTCATGAGTGTCACGGACGCCACCCTGACCTTGACCGCTGTTGTGAATTGCCCCCATTAAACCGGTCAGTCGGGTGCGGGAAAAACTCGCCCACAACTGACCTGATCTGCAGCTCGTGGCCTTATTCGAATGCAAGCTGTCAAATGAACGCCAGTCAGGCTCACTCTCGCTACAGTGAGTTCTTGTGAGCCTTTTATATAATCATGTGCACCACCCGGGTAAAAAAGGCCCGGCTTTCACGCCTCTACTGACGATCTTGTCAGTCGGCTCGCGAAGGTCGTCTCACAGTTACCAGGTGGCTGCTGAGACAGACGATGTCTCCTGTGCCTCCATGCTCACGTGCTGAGTCTAGAACGGGACCACAGCCGCGACCTATCGAGAAGCCCTTGTCGCCCCTGTCGTCCTTTTAAACCTTCCCGAGCAAATACGAGTCTAGACCGAATCGACTTTAGCACGGGATGTCCAGCAACCGGCTCAACCACGCGATAGTCACTATTTGTATGGGGAAATGTCATGGCAGTATATTTTTAGGGATAATATGACGATTCACCGAGCAGCGTGCACGTGTGGTTATGCGGATGCACATATGTTGCACAAGGTTTTCCCATGTTTTCAATTTCAACAATGTCACGCTTTGTTCCTTTGAGATGCTTTGAACTCAGCTAGTTATACGAGTATAAGGAATATGATACAGACATTAAAAGTTTCGAACGATATGTAAGTTATATTTATCGGTCAGCTTATATTTTTTCAGCTTTAGTCTTTATGCATCTATCTCTATGAGCCAAAATTCAAAAGCCAATGACACAAATAACGTAATTGGTGCATTCCATGTCAACCGGGACAGCCAAAATCGACCACCTCTGCGATTTTGTTCAAACTTGGTATACTTATAGGCTATTGGGTGAAACCTCTGAGGGTGAAAGGATTTTGTCATATGCCCTCGGGCTACATAGATACAAGTCGCTAAACTTTTGCTTTTTGAGCAGAATTGGACGTGTATTGCAATCTTGAAAGATCTATAGCTTCAACATTTTTGAAGCTATTGATTTCAAACAAACTGAAACGTGTACATAAGGAATTATGCTAGTTAAATTTGACAATTTTTACATTTTTTGGTGATTTTGAATTTATTTTATTTTGAATTAATTTCTTAAAATGTTATTTGTGAAAAATGGGTACCCTTCGATTTCGCTCAAATTTAGA